AGGATCTTGTCAATGATCTCAAGGCAGCTGGGACCATAGTCACCAAGAAAAAAATTGGTAACATACTATGCTGTGAAGGACTGAAATCCTGCAGCTCCCACAAGGTTCCTTTACTCAAGAAAGCACATGTACAGGCTCATCTGAAGCTTGCCAGTGAACATCTGAATGATTCAGAGAAGAACTGGGTGAAAGTGTTGTGGTCAGATGAGACCAAAATTGAGCTCTTTGGCATGCACTCAACTTGCTGTATTTGGAGGAGGAGGAATGCTGCATGTGACCCCAAGAACACCATGGGGTTGGAAACATTATGCTGTGGTGGTGTTTTCTGCTAAGGGAACAGGACAACTTCACTGCATCAAAGGGACGATGGATGGGGCCATATACCATCAAATGTTGGGTGAGAACCTCCTTCCCTCAGCCAGGACATTGAAAATGGATCATGGATGGGTATTCCAGCATGACAATGACCCAAAACAGTGACTCAAGGCAACGATGGGAATGGCTCAAGAAGAAGCACATTAAGGTCCTGGAGTGGCCTAGCCAGTCTCCAGATTTTAATCCCATAGAAAATTTGTGGAGGGAGCTGAAAGTTCGAGCTGCCAAACATCAGACTTGAAACCTTAATGACTTGGAGAGGATCTGCAAAGAGGAGTGGGACAAAATCCCTCCTGAGATATGTGCAAACCTGGTGGCCAACTACAAGAAATGTCTGACCTCTGTGACTGCCAACAAGGGTTTTGTCACCAAGCACTAAGTCATATTTTGCGATTTCATTTTATTTCACATTAAAATGCAAATCAATTTATAATTTTTTTGAAATGGATTTTTGTTGTTGTTATTCTGCCTCTCACTGTTAAACTAAACCTACCATTACAATTATAGACTGATCATTTCTTTGTCAGTGGGCAAACATATAAAATCAGCAGGGGATCAAATAATTTTTTCCCCTCACTGCATTTTTTCTTTGCTGAAATCTATTTTCTATATGAGAGGTTAGTAATAATATCTGATTGCAGCAGTTTCTTTTTGATCCAGCCTGTTTTATAAGTATACGTTCCTCGGCCAGAGGGTTTAATGCTGTTTAAGATGAGTCTCTCCAGTAATTTGTAAGAAATGCTTAAGAGCGCTATAGGTCTAAAATCTTCCCCAGATTTCCCCTCTTTACCAAGTTTCATGATGGCTACAAGTTTTGTTCTTTACTACTGGATGGGGTTATGGTGCTCCAAACAAATCTGGCACCCAACTTGGGGGGCCTCCTAGAGCAGGGGTCGGCAAGCTGAAACACTGAAAGAGCCACTTGGACCCGTTTCCCTCACAAAAGAAAAAACTGGGAGCTGCATAATGCGTGTGCACGTGCGCATGCGCACTGAAGAGGAGGCTTGATTTAAAGAGTGGAGCCGAAGGCGAGACTTGCACCGGCTCTGCCCCCTGTCCAGCTCCGTCCTGGCTTCTCCTCCCCTTGGAAAAGACTGCTCTTCCCCCACCCCATGCTCTCCCTCTCTGGGATTTTCTTCTTTCTGCCTTTTGGCACAAAGGTTCCCAGGGAGCAGAGGAGGAGGCCGACGGGGAGAAGGAGCTGCCGGCTCACCTATCTCAGCCTGCTGCGGGACGCTGGAGTTGAGGCTTCTGGCTCGCTCTGGGAGCAGTGCTCGGAAAAGAGAGGATGAGAAGCGGAAAGTGGGAGAAAGGACGTCTTCCACCTCTCTGGGGTTCTTTCACTGGGAGGGCGAGGAAGCAGCAGTTCTGATCCACAGGAGGTGGGAGCAGGTGGCCTCTTCAAGCTCATTTCCAGCGGCGGCGGCGGAGCCATCTGGTGCTGTTTACATGGCCGTTTGTCTGCATGACTGAGATAGGCAGCGGCCCCAACTCTGGTCTGGGGAAACGAGAGCAGGCCGGGACTGCTGCCCAGGGGGCAGCAGGAGGAAGAAGGGGAGGAGGGCGAGGAAGCCGCCGCCCCAGCCAGGACTCCGCGCTGCCCAGGCTCACCCTCCACCCATGCAATGTAGCCACTGCCAGCCCCTCCGCCGGCCCGGCTGCTCCCCCCCATGCACCCCTCTTGCCCTGGCACCTGTCCGAGCCACCCATTGGCAGCAGGAGGAAGAAGAGGAGGAGGGCGAGGAGGCCACCACCCCAGCCGGGACTCTGCACTGCCCAGCCTTGCTCTGTCCATCTGATGTAGCTGTGGTGGGGGCTGGTGCCGTGCAGGCCACGGGGCTGGTGCCTCTGGCCCTGGCTGCAATGCTGCAGCTGCTTTGCCTGACCGGCCCCTGCCAGCCCCTCCACTGCTCCAGCTGCTCCCCCCCGGGCACCCCTCTTGCCCTGGCACCCACCCTCCCTGCCCATTGGCAGCAGGAGGAAGAAGGGGAGGAGGAGGATGAGGAAGCCGCTGCTGCCACTCCAGCTGCATCCTCAGCTGAACAGGCGGGGAGGGGGAGCAGGATGGGAGGCAGCGGCTCTGGCGGCGGCCACTGCAACATCGTTGGGGGTCCTCACTGGCCTGGTCCCCGCCCCGCCATGTCCTCAGCCACTTTGCCGCCACAAGAGGAGGGCGCCAAGGCTGGGTGCAATGGGGAATGCTGCCACGGGGATGAGGGGGGTCCTGAGCCACCGCCGGCCCCACTGCCCTCGCAGCCCAAGGTCTCCTGCAGCACCGAGGGCGGTGGTGGCAGGACGGCATAGGGGTGCGGCTGCCCGCTTGCCACCTCTTCGGCCTCACTCAGCACGACCAGCAGCAGCGGGAGGATGGCCAAGAGGGCCACCAGCAGTGGGTAAAGGGCCAGGCAGGTGCCGTGTCATAGAGTCACAACTTCTGCTGATTGAGCAGGTGGCAGTCATGGCTAAAAGGGCCTTTGCACAGCTTTGTCTTATGTACCAATTGCACCAGTTTTAGATGGGCCGGCCCTACTCATGGTTATTCATGCCCTAATCACCTCAAGATTGGACTATTGCAGTGTTTCTCAACCTTGACCATTTTAAGGCATGTGGACTTCAACTCCCAGAATTCCACAGCCAGCATTGCTGGAATTCTGTGGAATTCTGGGAGTTGAAGTCCACATGCCTTAAAATGGTCAAGGTTGAGAAACACTGGACTATTGTAATGTGTTGTACATGGGTTGCACTTGAAGAATTCAGCATTGTGGGCAGCTATAATGGTGGGACAGTTGCATGCAAACATGCACTCCTACAACAGTGCATGTTACACCTCTGTTCTGTGATCTGCATTGGTTGCCAATTTGGTTCTGAGTCCAATTCAAGATGGTGTTTTTGATCTTTAAAGCTTTTCATGGCAGGGGACTGGACTATCTAAGAGATAGCCTCTCCCCAGTTACATCAGCCTGTCCCAATAGATCTACCAGAAATTGTTAAATAAATTGTTAAATTTATTTATTGAATTTATTTGTCACTTATCTCAACCACTGGACTCTGGGTGGATACTCTATTGACCTATGTTTGGTGGGTCCCAGGAGATGTGCCTTCTCTGTTATGGGACAGCCTTATGGAACATTCTTCCCACTGAAATTAAACATAGTTATCTTATGCAAGGGAGGGAAGGAGGGATCTTTCACATTCATCTTACCACCTAAGGGAAAATCTTCTGGGTTTGAAGACTAGAAATATAAATTTCTATCTTTTAAATTTAAAGAATATTTATTTATCAAAATGGTATTGAATTTTATTAATAAGTTAGTGCTGTGATTGGTGGATAGTTTTGATACATGTTTAGATTATGTATTTATCCATTTTTCAAAACTTGCTCTAGCCTTTGCTTTTTTCTGCCCTCTGGGGAATTACTGGAAGACTCCTTGATGCTCTCTGAGTTTGGTTCTTTGCAGACATTTCGTTATTCAACTAGATAACATCAGTGCTAGTAAGTGTGGGTTTGCTTCCTGCTTACATACAGTAGTTTGTCCTGACAGTAGTTTTCTCCTTGGTAGTTCCTTGATTAGGATATTGTTTGATGTTGATGTCTGCTGTTAATCCCTGCTTATTTGGGTGTAGGCTGTTGCAGATAATGTATTCTGGTCTTTTTGTTTCCTTCTTTGTTTTTTTTTAATTGCTCATTTGTAGCAGGTAAACATGGTTTATCTCTATGTATCTATTGACGGCTGGTTTGTCTGAATGTCAAACTTCCAGGAAATCCTTAGTGTTTTTGGATTTAGCTTGGTCTAAGATGCTCACTATTTCCCAATTGAAACAGTGGATGAGGATAAAGAATTTTCATCATGTCTTCTGACTGTTAGTTGGTGTTCATGGATGTGTTCTGCTAATGCTCTGCCTCTCTGCCCTACATAGTCCTTACACTATATGTTCTTTTGACATATGACTCTGTAATACTCATGTTTTTTATTCTTGGACTACTGGTTCTTTTGGTTTTGTAAGATATTTAGTTAAGTAAAACTAAGTAAAGTTTCAAGTTAAGAAAAAAACAAAAGGACAAAACCACACCTGCTCTAACACTGACGGGGCAAGCTACTGTATTTAAACAGGGAACAAACCTCACATATTAAATAATTTGATTACTATAGGAGTTTTGGCAGTGTTCCTGCATTACTTCCACATGTTTGATCAGATTTTTTTAAAAAAATTCAACCTCCTCAAAATCCATTGTAAAAATCCCACTCTACAAGGCCAGACTGTGAGATAGTGATTTTCATCAAATGATCATTTGAGCTAATTAGTGGAATTATATTTGAATCTAAGTCATTCTGGTTTATTTTAGGGAATTAGCTCTAGCTTAAGATAATTGTGCTTAAATTAGTTAAAATCATTTGAACTAATTTCAATGGTACAAAAGCACAGCTATTTTGCAATACTTTCAATCCAGTAGAATATGACTAAATCATATTTTATTTTCTAGATGGTCTTAGTTGCCTAGAAAATATGTTTCTCTCTCTGTCATCCTGGATATGGTAAAACTAAATAAGAAATTACTGGTATAACTTATGTAAGGCTGATACTGAAATAAAGTTCCTGAATTTTGTTTCTTCTCTTTTTTTTAGTTGTGTCAGAGTAGAGGAACACCATGCTGTTGATATTGACCTTTACCACTGTCCCAATTGTGCAATTCTTCATGGACCCTCCTTAAGTAAGTGATGAATTTTAAAGCATTTTGCACAATTTAGGATATTGTGGCCTCAATACTGAATATAAATTATTTTTATAGCTGATGATATCATGGCTATACCTGATAATTATGCAATGTCGTTTTGAAATTATATCTCATTGTGGTTTATATTCTGATTTTACCTTTAACTGTTTACATCATTAATTGGAACAAAGAAATATACATTTGTTCCCTTTGGAATCTACTGTTTCTCCAGCAGGATGACTGTAGAGTCCAAATGGATGAATGAATGAATGAATGGATGGGTTCTATGACGGCCTTCCTGCCTGGCAGACTGGGTAAAAACTTCGGCCACACCCCTTCCTTTGGGCGTGACCCCAGTTTTGACTCAGTCTCGAAGCCTGGTACAAGTGCGAGAGGCAGCTCTCAGAAACAAACGAATTTAAACTCAAAAAAAAAAAAAAAAAAGGAATCCCCTCTTCTTCCCTTGACAAGAGAAACTTCCCGGCAGCGATTAGAACAGGATCGGCGGACTCGTGAGTGGGGCTAGCCGGGGAGGCTCGGAACGGGCCGGATCGCTCGCTTTCTTCCGGCCCGCCGAGCAGCTGTTCGGCGCGGGGGGGGGTTTTTCACCGGGTTGCGCGTAGCCCTCCGGGCCCTCCCAACAGCTGAGCAGCCTGGCCGAGGGAGCTGAGCGCCACGGCGCGAAACAGCTGAGCCGCGCGGGAAGCGGCAAACCAGGTCGCCGCTCGGCTGCGATCAGCTGAGCGGCGCGATAAACAGCGCGGCAAGAGCAAAGCCGGCGCTGAATTCCCCTATACCCAGAGGAAAGGCGCAGCCCCTCATGACTAGAGGAGTCTTCCTGATTGCAAAAATCAGGATCCGCCATTACTCTTGAACCTCGTGGATTCCCGGGCTTCCATTGGGAGGCGTGGCTTCTTCCCCATTCACCATTTTGGAACTTGATCTTCCCGCCGTTTCCCCTTGGGGGCGGGGCCTTCACCCGGACTCCATTTTCCGGCAAACAAAGGGCTTTTTCCCTTGCAAGGATCTGAGGTTACCCAAGGAAACTGAGACAGAGGAAGGAAGAGGGAAAGTAAAATAACCGTTTCCTATCGTGGTCTGTTGCCACAGCCACAGACTGGGGGAGAGAGAGAGACATATGAACTGCACCTTGTCTGGACTAGGTGAGGAGGTGAGGAGGAACATTCTTCCCTAACTGTTCCCATAGTGGCCTTTAGTCACTGCCTTGCAGGATCTTCGGTCCAAAGAATCCTGTCTGTCCGGCCATTGTTTGTATAGGCAGAGGAGGGCACAGTCCCAAGCATCTGCCTCTGATCTGCGTACCTCATTCCCCCATCCCAGGCATTTCCTACTCGGGGTGTCTGGCGCAATGGCAGACAATGTCTCGTATTCAGTCACACAGGTCCCTCAATTGTCCCCCCCACAACAGCAGCGAAAACGCAGATCCTCTGAATCAGAGGTGGGGGGGAAGAAGAAAGCTAAAACAAAGCACCTTACTCAGAAGGGACAGTCTAAAACGGCTGAGCGAGAGGCTCTGAGGAGACATTTGGCTTTAGAAAGACAAATTAGCAGGGCACAGAGATCCAATGCCAATGGGACAAATTTGGTTTCCCCTGTCCCAGTGGCGACCAGCACAGAACCTACTGCCGAGGAAGTGCTCAAGACTTGGTCTCCTCCTGGGGAAACTGAACAGTTAGATTCCTCCAATCCCTCCTCACCAGCTTCTTCTCCCTCACCCGACCACACTCCAGCGCCTCACCCCAGCGACAAAGCGCAGGAGAACATATGGTCGGCACGATTTCAGGCATTCATGCAGGATGCATTCTCCCAATTCATGGCCTCCAAAGGGCAAGTGGCCTTTCACACACCCCGTAAGGGACGAGCTAGGCCACCCCCTACCAACATCTCTGAATCTTCCTCTCAACTAGGAGAGGGTGACTCAGTAGATCTTGACATGTCAGACATGCCCCTATCGGAGGACGAGGAAACCGCACCTGAGCAGGAGACGAGCTCTGGCCTCTTTAACCCAGCGCTCCTAAAATCACTCCTGATTAAGGCAGTTTCCACAGTCAGCCTAACATCAGTACAGGATGAGAGGCCATCGACTAGCAAGGAGGCCAACCCTCTGTTTGCCAAAAAGGTCCCACAGGACAAGTACATTCCATGTGCGGAGGTCTTCATGACCACGCTGGAGGAACAATGGTCCTCACTTGCAAGCCCACCGGCACCTAACAGCGCGGAAAGAAAGCTTTTCAACCTATCTCCCTCCTTCTCTAACATGTTAGAGGTTCCCACTGTAGATAACCCTTTGATCTCATTATTCTCTACCTCCGCGATTCCAGGAGACATGGCGGAGGTCTTGAAACCTGAGGAGAAGAAATTTGAACACTCCTTCCGGCGTTCCCACATGGCTGCAGCCTGGGCGGCCAGAGCAGCCACCTCCTCATCATTCTTCGCGAGGGCCTGCATCATGTGGCTGAGGGAACTGCAGGGCACGGTGCCTCCAGACCAGGTCAGAGTACACCAGACATTGGCCAAACTCCTCGCGGCCTCTCAGTTCATGTCTGACGCTTCACTGTACGCAACAAAGTATGCGGCAAGATCCATTGCGGCCACAGTGGCCTCGCGTAGGCTACTGTGGCTCAAAAACTGGAAGACAGACCTGAGGTCCAAATGGCGTCTCTCGACGTCCAAATACAGTGGAGAGGCCCTATTTGGTTCCATTCTGGATCCACATGTCAGCGAAGGCAGAGACAAGAAAAAAATCCTAGTACATCCATCAAAGAAGTTAGACAGGAGAGGCAGTCAGGACTTCCGGAGGCAGGGCTCCCGCCCAGGAAGCCCCTGGGAATGGAGGCAGCCCTTTCGATCAGGGCAATCCTGGGACTGGCCCAGAGGCTCACGATCCTTCTACCCGAGACAGGATCGAACCCAGGATCGCCAAAGCCCGGGAGCCAGGGGCCAGTTCCAGTCCAGACGCCCATATAGAGGAGCGGGAGGCAGATCCTTTAAGCGTACCAAGTGACGCCAAACAGGATACACCCATCGGGGGTCGGTTAGGAAATTTCACCGAGGTCTGGGAACAGACCACTACCGACGCCTGGGTCCTGGAAACGATCAGGCATGGCCTGACCTTAGACTTCTGTTCTCCCCCTCCAAACCGGTTCATCAGATGTCCCATCTCCAGAAGAGCACACAAGACAAGGCTGATAACTTCGGCCATAGATCACCTCCTGTCAATTCAAGCAATAGAGAAGGTACCAAAGGAAGAGGAAGGAAGAGGATTTTATTCTATCCTCTTCGTTATCCCAAAGACATCAGGAGGGTGGAGAGCAATCTTGGACCTGAAGGGCCTGAACTATTTCATAAAGTACAGGAGGTTCAAGATGCACTCCTTAAAGTCCATACTAGCCAGCGTCAGGGAAGACGATCTACTATCCTCAATAGATCTCACAGAGGCGTACCTACACATCCCCATCCACTCCAGCTACCGGAAATTCCTCAGATTTACCTACGCGGGGCGACATTACCAATACAGGGCATTACCCTTCGGACTGTCGTCAGCACCAAGGGTATTCACAAAGATCTTAGCTGTACTAGCGGCCCATCTCAGGTTGATTCCGGTTCGCGTCCAGTTTTATCTGGACGACATCTTGATTCAGTCCAGATCTCGGGAACAAGCAAGGACAGACCTCAAGACCACAATCCGAACCCTACAGGGGCACGGATTCTCGGTCAATCTAAGCAAGAGCCACCTCATCCCCTCAAGGAGACTGCAACACCTGGGCGCGGTGATAGACACGTCACAGTGCAGGGTATTCCTTTCCCAGGAGCGACTGATCAACATATCCAAGCTAATCCACCAAATTCAAGAGATCAGGAGAGTGCCCTTGCTACAACTCTCGAAGCTCCTGGGAAAGATGATATCTTGCATGGGCATCATCCCATGGGCAAGGCTCCACTCGAGGGAGTTGCAGTGGTTCCTCCTACCCTACCAGAGGAGGAACCTCAGCACCTCCAACAGGAGTGTGCTGGTACCAGCACAGGTGATGAAATCACTAAAATGGTGGCTATCCCCCATGACACTCAAGGGGAGCATATTCAGGGAACCGAACAGGGTCACGCTCACGACAGATGCGAGCCTGTTCGGATGGGGAGCCCATCTAGGGACCCAGATAGCACAGGGCCAGTGGGGTCAGAAGGACCTGTCACACAGCATCAACTGGCTAGAGCTCCGGGCCATACACCTGGCCCTCCGTCATTTCTCACACCTAGTAACGAGGAGGCACGTCCTCGTGCTTACAGACAATGTAGCAGCCAAGGCACATGTAAACAAGGAGGGAGGAACGAGATCAGTGGAACTAATGAAAGAAGCATTGGCTCTGGCTCGGTGGGCAGAAGCCAATGTGAGTTCCATCAGAGCGGAACACATCTCAGGGGAAACAAACACCCAGGCAGACTCCCTGAGCAGAGCCAAGGTGGACCAGTCGGAATGGCGTCTGGACCCGGCTCTCTTCGAGGAGATCTCCCGGAGGTTCGGACAACCGCACCTAGATCTATTTGCCAACCACAAGAATACACAACTCCCCAGGTTCTTCTCCAGATTCCCGTCCCCGGGATCGGAGGGAACGGATGCTCTCAGGTGCCGGTGGCCGGCGCAACTCCTGTACGCCTTCCCACCGCTGCCACTAATACCGGCAACCATACGCAAGATGATCCTGGAGGGCGCAGAAATGGTCTGCATTGCCCCTCACTGGCCACGGCGCCCGTGGTTTGCCGACCTCGTGGACCTTTCGATATCACCTCCGTGGAGGATTCCCCCGGACAGGGTAAAACTCAGTCAGGGCAAGCTTGTACACCCAGATCCCCAGTGGCTACAACTAGCCGCTTGGCATTTGAGCGGCAAAGCTTAACTAAACAATCTTATTCTGCAGGGGTGATATCGATCATACAGGCATCACGAAGGGCGTCCACCAATAGGATTTACGACGCTACAT